GCCCCACACTCTCCACCCGCTCCTTGTGCACGCCCTGCCCCACTGAAGTCGGCTCAGTTGCCAGGCTGTAGAGAATCCAGTCACCAATCTCTGCAGGCCCACAAGTTGCCTGAGGGCTTGTTGTTGTTTGGAGCCAGTGTCTAGGGTGGGCTGCCTGCCCTGGCTGAGCTGGATTAAATTGATGCTCTAGCGGGTGGGGCAGACCTGGGCTAGCAGGCCTCAGGGAGAACTCCAATGGCATCTGTGTCAGCACGCCCACACCAGGCCACATAATGGCTGCTGCCAATGTCCCAGTCCCTGCAGAGGTCTCACCTCTCACCGAGATGCACTCAGGGCCTATTAGGTGAGTTTCACCAAAGCACTGTGTACCTTTCTTTCTGGTGATTTTAGGTTGCTTTTTGAAACGGGTGAGTTTGCGCATGGGCCCTTTAAGAGCTGGTTTTATTTGTGAACCAGCTTTTCTGGGGGTGCTCCCCAATGTTTTAGTAGCAGGCAAAGTCAGATATTATGCCACTTGTCTCGATTGTGCTGGGTCCACAAAATGCCCACAGCGGGGGCACTCCCCTGCTCGGGGCCCCGCGCCTCCAGGGAGGGCTGTGTACCTTTGGGCTGCTCCCCGGCGGCCGTGAGGGGCTGTGGCTTGTGAAGGCGGCGTTTTCCTCTCCAGAAGGGAGTTTCTGCCTCTTCTACCTCACTTAGGATTGTGCTTTGTTGCAGGAGTTCCTCTTATCCAGTTTTCAGTTCTGTCTCAGGGGTAGTTTTTCCACGAGTAGTTGTAAATTGGCTGTATCTGCGGGAGGAGGTGAGTTCAGAGTCTGCCTACGCCGCCATCTTGACTTCGACCTCCTCTAATCTGTTTTTAAACACATTTTTGAGTTTTTAAAATTCAGTTGTTAAATTTACAGTTTTAAAATTTCATTTGAATAATTTCATTTATAGATTTTAATTCTCTAGTGTAATTTTCCAGCTGATTCTTTTAAATTCCCTCTGGAGATTTTTTTCTCTGAAGTTTCCAGTTATTTGGTCATATTTCCTTTATGCCTGGTAATTTTTTATTGATTACTGAATATTGTATATGAAAAATTTAGAGATGATGAAGCTATGGATGATGAAAACCTTTTGCTCTAGACAGGATTTATTGTCGCACCTCAAAGGCAGTTGGAAGAGTGTCAGATAAACTTTAATCTATTTTGTGTTTGAGCTGATTCAAATCAGGATTTCTGTCTTCATGAAGACTAATCTATTTTTGCTTCACCCTTCTTCTATGGCAGGGGTTGTCAAACTTTTTCTGCATAGGGTCAGAAAGTAAATATTTTAGGTTTTTCAGGTCTCCAGTCTCTGTTGCAACTACTCCATCTTGTCATTGTAGCACAAAAGCATCCATAAATAATATGTAAATTAATGAGTGTGGTTGTGTTCTAATAAAACTTTATGTATAAAAACAGGTGGTGGGCCAGATTTGCCCTGCAGACCATAGTTTTCTAACCTCCCTCGGAGGATGTAGTGCTTCAGGAGTCCTGTCTCAAAACCTGGGTTATTTAACCAAGACTCCTTCTCTGTGGAGAGCCCTAAACTCCAATTTTTGTCTTCCTACCACTGTGAAAGTACTGTTAGATCTAATAACCTTCTCAGATCACTGGCTACAACTTAAGAATTAGCAAATACCCTTAGGGCAAAAGCAACACCAAATGTTGGGTTCATCTCTGTGCACTTACTTTCTCTCCAGATTTTAGCTTCTAAGATAGTTACTTGGGTAACTCTTTGATGCCTTCACACATTTTTTTTGGTATTTTTTTTTAGCTTTTCTCCTTATTCTTGGGACAAGTAGTCTATCAGATCCAGAAGCATATGGGGATCTTTTTTGAAATTCAGATTCACCACTGCCTCAACAAAGAGTGAAAAAAATCATCTTTATATTTTGGATTTTATGTCAGAAATTGTCAGACCACAGAGTGTACTCAGAATCCAGTGGGCTACCCCCACCTTTAAATGATCATTTGTCTTGAATCTGTCCAATTATCTGCGTGCTGACTGCTCCTTCCTTAGTTCTAATCTAAAACAGCCTTCTAATCCTCCTGATATGCGTTGTCTAGTTCATTCTCTACATGGCAGGCAGGGTGATTCTTATAAAACATGGATTTGAGAATGTTACCTTCCCTGCTTAAAACTCTTTAATGATGCCCCATTTCCCTTAGAATATAAAAGATAAACTTCAAGATAGCTTGTAAGGCCCTTCATGACCTGGCCCCTGCTTATCTCTCTAACCTAATTTTTCAACATTTTTTCCTGAAAACCATACTATTTAGCTCTAATTAATTGCTTTTCAACTCTCCCTCTCCCACCTCAGTGCCTTTTCACATGATCCAGCCGGGTCATAATCTCCCTCTTACCTTGCCTTTGCCTTAAGTCCCTCGTTATTGTTCAAGTCTCAGCTTTGGTTAGCTCTATCTAGGAAACCTTTTCTGACTCCTAAATTCTGGCCTAGATTCAGAGTACTGTGTATTTCCCCAGTGATATTTATTGTACCCTTTATACTGAAAAATTGTATGTTTGCTGATTTGTAGCCCCTAAACTACTATGAGCTTCAAGGGGCAAGGCTATCTCTATTCCAGTCTTGAATCATAATAGGTTCTCAATAGTTGTTTGTTGAAGAAATGAATGAATGAAATGCTGTAAATATATTTGTCATTATTTACTTTTCATTATGATGCTTACATTCATTGATTCTCAGTATAATCTTATAAGCTAGGAAAGCAGTATTATTTCTGTTTTAAAAATGGGCAAAGGGGAATAGAGAGGCCAGTTAACTTGCTTGGGGTTTTAGGATATTTAATGGTGAGTGTGATCTAATCTCTAGGTTCTGCAGGTCTCAGGATAGATGTCAAGATTGTCTACCACAGTTTTACCTCACTCACTATTTCACTTCTCCTTTTACATTCTTGCTTCTTTCTTTATTTATTTTCCTTCCCCCGTGACTATCATTAAGGCCACATTGAAAGCTAGAGAGATGGTGTCACTTTGATTAATCAATAGGTTTGGGGATTTTTAGAGAGTTTAATCATTCATCATTAAGCAAAACTTCTCTTTCCCCCATGACTCCACCCTAGTCTGGGCTCAGGCTGCAGAGGAAGGAGATGTGACAGGTGGCCACTCCTCCCTTTCAAGGTGAGATTATGCATAGAAGCGCCAGGAGTATGTGAGAGGTTGGTCATTCATAGTGACAAATTACTTTGTAATCGAAACCTGTGATTGAGATCCAGCTTGTGAATCCTTATAATTAGATAATAGTAAATAACTTCAAAATTGTGTACGGTGTTTGGAAGATGGGGAATGGATTTGAGGTTCACCACCTTGTCAGATTCCTTTGCTGCTGACAGTGGGACTATGTAATCATTTAATTGTTAAAAGGAGGAAGTTCGTATGTGAAATTGGTAACGTGGTGAGTGGGAACAGTCTTTTCTGCAGTCTGTTAAAGGGAATATTAAAGGGAAGTATTAAATAGTATTTAATGTTTTTAAATAGTTTACCATTAACTTCCATTCTGAAATCACTTGAAACCAGCATATATCATTTTTGTGTGTTTGTGTGGGGTGAGGGAAAGCTACACATTTTGTTTCTTTATCCATAAACTCTGTGCCAGAGTGTGCCGTAGTCAGTTGAGTTGTAGAAATTAATACCTGGAGAATAATGAGGCAGAGCAGACAGTATCTGAAAAGTTTTCTAAAAATTGCCTCTTAAATGCTCACACGCGGAGACCTCTGGTCCAGGCAAGAAACTGGAAGTGGAAGCGTAGACTGAGAGGCCAGAAAACCTTGATTTTCCTGGCCCCTGTCCTGGCTTGGCTGCAAAGTTTAAGGCCATTTTTATTTGTCCCTTTCAGGTAGCATCCTTTTCAAGTGGATGACCATGGAATCCGAGAAAATCTCAGAGAAGCAGGAGGAAATTCTATCTATCCTGGAAGAAAAATTTCCTAGCTTGCCACCAAGAAAGGAAATTATCAACGTCCTGCAGGAGACCCAATTCAGTGCTCAGGGTGAGTGACTCTGTCCCCAGCTCTGCTGCTGCTCCTAAGTAGGGCTGGTTTGTGGTGTGGAGTGTCGCCAGGCCCCAGAAGGTGACTTTGAGTGTGCCTTCACTTTCTTCCCTATTGTTTGTGCTTGTGGAAGATTTTCAGGCACCTGGAAGCAGGCAGCCTGTAGTGCAGCCTCTCCTCTGAGGCCTTTGTGTCTGATGAGTGGTTAATTCACGTGTCTAATGCGCACCCCAGATGCATCATTACATGAAATCCCTGTGCTGAGAGGGTTTTATTTTGATAATGTGGCAGGAGCAATGTCAAGCACAATGGGATTTCACAAATCAATTAATTTTAGAAAAAAGTTAGAGAGAAGACAGCTAAGCAGATAAAATTATTCTCTAAGTCTAAGCTTTATGAAGACAGTGGATTTCCTGGATCAATTATTTTATAATAATAATAATAATAATAAATAGCTGTAATTCACTGAGTGCCTAATATGTATAAGGTTCTTCTTTTTTTTTTTTTTTTGGTGAGGAGGATTGGCCCTGAGCTAACATGTGTTACCAATCTTCCTCTTTTTGCTTGAGGAAGATTGCGACTGAGCTAACATCTCTACCAGTCTTCCTCTATTTTGTATGTGGGTTGCTGCCACAGGGTGGCTTGATGAATGGTGTGTAGGTCCGCGCCTGGGATCCAAACCCGCGAACCCCGCCAGGCTGCCAAAGCAGAACATGCAAACCTAACCACTACGCCACCAGGCCAGCCCCTACAAAGTTCTGATGGTATAACTTTGCAGGGATTATTTTACTGAGTCGTCACGATAACCCTGAGAGTCAGGTGCTATTATTATGCCGAATTTTCAGGTGTGAACACTGAAGCACAGAAAAACATCTTGGCTTTCCCATCATCACACACACAGCTGGCAAATGGCCAGGACAGGATTTAAACCCAGACATTCTATCTTCAAGGTGTATAGTTTTCTCCCTTAGTTTGGAATCCCCCAGTGGTAGAGCCTGAGGCAAAGCCGTTGATTTGGGAGGTAATCCCGGGAAACACTGATGGAGGATGGAGTGCTTTATCAAGCAAGTTAGCTCTGTGGGAAGCCAGGCCAACATCCCACTAGGGAACTTGGGGAAAGGGTGTGAAATTACACCTCAGCGTTATCCCACCCTAGGGGTGCAGTGGTATGCGGGAACTTGTTCATCCAAGCTCCAAGAGCTGATGGTTAAATTTTCAGGAATTTTGTGAGTTGGTTGATGTTGGGTTGGCAGCTTGAAATCAGTCATGGTGGAACTATTGACATCACAGAAATTGACAAACAGTACAAATCAGGGGTTGTGGCTGGTTGTTGAACGTTTACTAGCCAACCACTGGAATATTGAGGGCTGTTCAGGCCCAGGGGCTGTTAATTCCCCCAGACTAGGCTCTGGTGGCCAGAGAAAGCCTTCAGGAAAAGAGATGCAGATGCCAGTGGTTGAGCATCATGCTGGGGCACACCTCACTGGTAATCTGAGGGAAATGTGGGTGGGGCACTGATGCGCCTGCCACACCTTCAGTTACATGTGCATATGTGTGGATGTACGCGTATGTGTGTAGAGCTGCATGATGGTATGCATGTTGTCATTCATTTTCACAACTAGACCAAACATTTAATTGGGTCACAATATATTCTATAAATCATTTCATGTTGCAATGTGATAGATGGCGGCCTTTCTATCTTCGAGTCAAGGAAAAATCTTTAGTACCTGTCTATTCCCCACACTGCTGTGATTGACAGACTGTTCTAAGTGGGAGGGCAAGAGAGTCTGGTGTCTTAACACACATCTGGGAAGGAGATTTGTGCTTTACTGGGCTTTATTATGGGGCTTTCTCCCAGCAGGTTAGGCCTAATCAGATGTAATAACCTAGGGTAAGAATTAAAGGTCAAGCCAGACCCTGTCCTGTTTTTCCATGATAGACTTTATTGAAGCACACTGTTCAGCTGACTACAACTATGCAGTTCTGGATGGTTTCGCCATTCCAGATTATTCCTGCCATTGTCTAAAGAATTCAGTAGCTCCTATTGCCAGAGCCTATTACAAGGGTGACCAACTTAATTATGACAGTTTTATGGGTCACATTTATAAGTGCAGTTTGAATAAAATTATACTAGAAAACATGGGGCTTACCTAAATGCATCCTGAAAGCTTATCTTGGCGTTGTTTGGTATTATTTGGCTAGGTCGCATGGTTCTGCTAATTTTTCTTCATTTTTCCACCTCCCCTCATTCCATTCTCTGCCAATGTCTGCTGTAGGCCTCCAGAGGCTGACCTCTGAGTATTTAATCTTCTAGGCTCCCCTGAAGATTACTGGCTTCTGGTTGGGTTTGGTCAACGGGAAGAGTTAGCAGCACATGTGGGCGTGGGGGTGGAGGGAAGGAGAAGAGAGGGGCTGTAGGATTTCTCCCTGCTCCCTTCCTGCTTTGGCCCTAAGTCTCTGGCAGCTCCCCTTCCACAGTTCTCGATCTCTGTTTCCTTCCCTTGTCTCTTTGCTAATTTCTGGATGCCTCACCATCTTTGATTCGTTTTCTCAGACCTGCCCATGGCTCTGTAAATGTCCTGCCATTAAAGAATCTTCTTTTTCTTCATGAGGGGTGAATTTTGTTTCCTGCTGGGATCCTAATTGATGCAGATATTGTCACTAATGTGATTTTTGCCTTCACATGTGTGTTTATTATGGATAAAAGTGATATTAGAGGGAAAATATTGAAATTAACAGGTGAATTCTTTAAATAATCCCTTGATATTACCAAAAAAACGTTCCCCCAAGTGTAACATACTGTTTTTCCACAGGTTTAAGTATTGAACAGACAATGCTAAAGGATCTAAAAGAACTGTCAGATGGAGAAATAAAAGTGGCCATTAGTAACGTGAACATGACCTTTGAGGTAAGGATGAGAATTCTTCTTCAGCAATGATAGATTTTACACAATTGCAATCTGAGTAACTGGAATATAACTCTCTCTACCGCGTATGTCAGCGTTAATCTTTTGCTGTGAATGCTTCTTTGTGATATATTTGACTAGGAATGCAAGTTATTATTTTGGGTGAAAACAGTATGCTAAGTCAATGAAAAATGCCAAACCTGGATTCCCAAGATGAATGCTGTTTCATTCATCTCAGTAAAACAAAATCTAAAACTCAAACGCTCACATATGTGTGTGGATATGTATAATCTGTTTAATAGCAATGATTATATATGTGATTAGATTCAATTCCTTTTTTTTGTGTGTGCACCACCCCACATTGTCCATGGAACTTTTCTAAGAAAACAAGTTGTCCTTTGGCCTTTGTAAGCTATTTGGGTGCAGGTCATTTTGGTAATCAGTGGTGACAACTCAAATAGTAATAAGATCCTCCTCCCAGTCTGTTAAATGAATAACTCAGAGTGAATGCTACTCGTGTCTTTGCATGTTTCCTTGGTAAATTATCTTTTGTCTACTTTGGGGGTTTCCAATGACTTTGTATGTTAATCTTAATTAACCTAACTAATGGGAATTATATTTTACAGAGGCACATTTGTGCTGTGCAGAAGTCTGGGTATTTCTTTACTGTTATATTGCCTTGATCAAGCCATCTACCTGTAATTGAGGCACTGAGCTCTCAAGTCAAGTTTATGGAGATAAAAATTGCTGTATAGTAATTTGTCTTTTGGTTTTTAGAATTGTATGTTGCTATTCTTTTTTTCTTCTCGTGGTGATGGTGACTATATCAACATATATGTTTTTAGGGGATAGCAGGCGTGCATAAGGGTGTCCATACCTCAGAAAACCCAAGGGCAAAGCAGGTGCTTTTTTCTGTGATTTCTTTGTAAAATTTATTCCCAGTTGATTGACATCATAATTCAGTTCATAGATCCGTATGAGTACCAGGAGGCAGAGTGTGATCACTAAAGATAATCACATTTGGTGGTTGGTTAGTGCCTCATAGCTTACAGAACACGTTCTCATTGTAGGTAGAAACTCAACTGTTTCTACAGACTTTCAAATTGACAAATGCTCCATATAATTAGATGTTGGTGTGGCTCAGTAGAAGGAATACATGCAATTTGAGATATAGTAACTAGATAATCGCCTTCAATTAGAAATCTGCTTTGCGTCTAGAAATCCAAAGAAAACATGGATCTTGCAAGGGTCAGTAGCTCTGAGAATCATTTCTCCTAGTTCGAGCCTTAGGGTTTTCTCTCTCTTTCCCTCCTCCCTTGTCTCCCTTCATTTAATGGCGTCTTATTAGGTTTTAAATGCCTTGTTTGGAATTCCTTTCTAAATTAACATAGAACATCTTGTAATTGCTTAGGGAACAGTCCGTAGTTAGCAAATTATTTTAAGGCTATTATTATTATAGACTTACCGTAGCTTTAATGTACCTTCATTTATATTATAGGGGTATACAAATGGCTTTGTCAGATACGTTAAACTGTAAATGTTTATCAAGCTAAATAAGTGACAAAATGATCATCTTAGTCTTGACAGTAATTTACATAGAAGTCCAGTAATTAATCAGGCGGCTAAGTACATCTCTAGAAGCGCTATGTGATCTTCTGGGAGGAGGGAGGCCGTTTGTACATATAAAGAAGGGAACACAAATTGAACTCTAATCAGCCGAATGAGAGCTTTTCGTTGTGCATAATGGGGATATTAAAGATGGCTAAGAAATGGAGAAGGATCTCAGTAACATTCTATATCTTCTTTGAAAGAGAAAATGCACATTATTTATTCAGTCTGTTTTTTGGAAAAATCTCCAAGTTAAGGGCAGCGTTTGGTTTTCTCCATAGATCATCCTGTGATACAGTGGTGTTTTCTCAATCCCTACTCATATTGGATCATATTTCAGTGTTTCTTTCTCATTCCATTCCATTAAAATAATGTCAGAATCCCTACAATCTTATTTTGTGTGTTTTGGAACAGCTGTCTAATTGCCCTTTAAATCTAGATAGATTCTCAAAGAAATATTCTTAGTTCCTATGACTTTCTAAATCTTATTTGTCCTTCAAAGCATGATTAAGTTCTAGCTAATTCGTGATGACTTTCATAAATTTTCCATTTTTTATAACCACTCTCTGAATGCTTGCAAAATTTAGTCTAAATGGACTTAGGACTTAAATATATACTATATCTTCCATTAATCTTGAACTTATTTCACATATTTAATCATGGTTAAACAACATTTAAAGTTAATTGAGGGTAATGATGGTATCTTTGACATTTATCTCCCTTTATAATATCCTGGCACAGTGTTGGGTATACCATAGAGGCTTGGTACATACAAATGCTTAGTACATATTGGTGTCTGCAATTTGTCCCTTTGATATCTGATTTTTATTTCCTTTTGAATTTAAGTAAACAAGCTAGGAAAGCAAAGCCAACTAACTGTGCGTCCAAGGCAACCTACTTTGTTTCTTTCCAATCAGTTTCTTCCAGATAACTATGGCTGAAGGCTGAGAAGGCCCACATATTTATAGATAGTACTGCTTATCCAGCTCTCCAAAAATGGATTGGGCAGCTTTGCAAAACAGTTAGCTGTTGTTACTGGAAGGAATCGACTGGAGGTTCTGTGGCATGTCAGGGAAATGGGGAAAAGGATTCCTTCCATTTTCAACAGTCCTTTGCAGTGCTACAATTCCACAGCAGTGTGTGTCATGGCCTTTATTTGCCTGATGACAGATTAATTTTCTTGGGTGGAAATACTGAGAAAATTAGAAAGATTTGTCTCCTTGCAACATACACAGCATGTTCTTCAGAGAGAACCACTGGTTTGGGAGGTAGAAACCACTGCCTTTGAGAGATGGGTTAACTCTGGCCCTCTATGTTATGAGGAGAAAGCTACTAAACCCTTTGTCTCTCATTTTAATTGTAGTATATATCACAAATGATAGTTGTAATCTAATCAAGGTTATAGAAGTTATTGAAAGATCTACCAAAGAAAGCAAATAATTCTAATACTACAGAGTTTCAATGCTTTGCTCAATATATGAGGTCAGAATGAATGTGACTTTCAGGAGCAGTGGATAAAAAATAGACTTATCAGAAGCAAGGCCAGAGGGGTAGCCCTTCTTACAGAGAGGACCTGGGAGCTAGGACCGTGGAAAAAACACTGCAGTCGCATTTCACATGGCCTCTGGGTCATCCTGAGTCTGAATACAGCACACATCTTGTGGGGCATGCACACCGCATATTGGAATCCACTTCATCGATGTTCGTTGTACCTGATCTTTTGTGCCCTTTTTATTGCTTGATAATTTGATTATCAGAAGAGAAACACAGTGGTTTTTCTTAATTGAAGTATAATTGACATACAATATCCTGTTAGGTTCAGGTGTACATTGTAGTGATTCCGTATTTATATACATTACAAATTGATCACCATGATAAGTCTAGTTATCATCTGTCACCATGCAAAGTTATTACAATATTATTGACTATATTCCTTGTGCCGCACATTACATCCATATGACTTAGTAATTTTATAACTGAAGTTTTTATCTCTTAATCCCCCTCACCTATTTCACCCACCCCCAACTCCTCCCTCCTCTGGTAGCCACCGGTTTGTTTCCTGTATCTATGAGTTTGTTTCTGTTTTGTTTGTTTCTTCTGTCTTTTAGATTCCACACATAAGTGAAATCACACAGTATTTGTCTTTCTTCTTCTGACTCATTTCACTTAGTGTAATACTCTCTAGGTCCATCTGTATTGTCAAAAATGGCAAGATTTGATTCTTTTTTATGGCTGAGTAATATACCATTGTATGTAGAAACACAAGTGGTTTTGATTCTGTTTCAATCCTTAATTTTAGTGGTGGAACCAGTAGAGAGAAATGAAAGTTGCCAAAAGCAAAATCCATGTTAAAAACTAAAAAAAGTATAAAAATTAAAAATAATAAAGCCTTAATCAGAAAAAGAAAGAAGAGAATTTATGGATATCAAAGCACATACTTAACTAGAACAAACTTGGCCTTTATTTTGCCAGCAGAATGAAGTGATGATTATATATCCTGGGCCTACTTTGCTCCCTAATAAAGCAGTATGTTAAGATGTTAAGGGTAAGGGACAAATCTTTCCATTCTAATGAGGTATCACCGAAGCAACTGAGGTTGCTCATGGCAGTACCACATTAATGATTCCCTTGCTAACACCAAATATTATTACACATCCTTTAAACGTCTCCCAAAAGGCTGTAAGTCATTAGCATCCTTCCTCAGGAAGAACAATAATCAGGCACTGACTTGATCACCTTTTATTATGATCAAACACATTATGATTTATTCTTGCATATATACAGTATCAGTTTGCTGCCATAACAAAGCACCACAAACTGGGTGACTTAAACAACGGAAATTGATGGTTTCACAGTTCTGGAGGCTAGAAGTCTGGGATTCTGAGGGCTGTGAGAGAGAACCTTTTCTATGCCTCTTGCCTAGCTTCTGGTGGTTTGCCGGCATCTTTGGCATTCCTTGGCTCGTAGAAGCATCACCGTGGTCTCTGCCTTGATTTTCACATTATCTTCCCTCTGTGCATGTCTCTGTGTCCAAAGTTCCCCTTTTTATATAGACACTAGTCATTTTGGATTAGGGCCCAGCCTAATGACCTCATCTTAACTATTATTTCTACAACAACCCCGTTTCCAAATAAGGTCGCATTCTGAGGTGCTGGAGGTTAGGACTTCAACATATAAATTTTGAGGGGACACAATTCAACTCATAACATATACTATTCATAAAAGTAGTCATTCTCCAGACAACTTAAAAGAATAAAACTTATACTAAGACTGCCTGAATGGACCTGTTGCCTGCTAAGCACACTTCATCTGTTGCTCCCACATGTTTTTATTTCAAATCAATTTCCTTTAAATGGAGAACAGTGGGGATTTTCGACTCTTTAAATTTTGTCTCCTTTGTTCGGAGCCGGAGTCCGAGGGAATTGTTCAGGCCTGTTTTCTCTCTGGGGCTCCGCTGTGCTCTCAGCCTGGGGCCTCCATATAGCTAGACGCTCTGCTATTTGAAACCTGGAATAGAACACAGGGGATGCATTCTGGCAAGGTGACTCAGACAGCTGACTCATTCTGCCCTGCACAGAGGTTACCAGCCAAGCTGCACCTTGGAATGCTGCAGAGGGAAAAATACCAACATTTTCCCTTAGCATTCGGACAGAGTACAGACCAGAATGAATTCCCAAGATCACCATTAAACTCCTCACTAACAAAACTGAACATTTACTCAGGCTGCAGTGAAGCATCATTGAACAGTTGTAACTCATGATTTGAGACTGAGCAAACCAGTCTGAAATCTGGTTTATCAGTTTTAAGCACCAAATATGATTTCTCATTGTTTGAGCTTGGAGTTTCTACCTCTAGAGTATTTACCTACCTTATTTTGTCGTAGAATGCATAGTAATATTTTGGGGAAGCATATATTATTTTTGATTAGCATATTCTTCAAAATGCCAAACCCTTACACTGAAGGTGATTTTTCAAAGCCATCTGGCCAACCAATGGAAATATGCAACCTCTCCTCCATGTTCTAAATCCTAAGTGCCTCCATTTCCTTTGGTGTCCAGGTCTGCCAACTCCTCCTTGCTAAGAATGAGTTAACATTTCCTGATGACTGCTCACTATGTACTAGAGGGAGGACTTGCAAGCGTTATCTCATTTAATCCTCCCAACAACCTCGTGAGGTAGAGGTGCTGCGATTACCCCCGTATGGCTTGAGTAGCCCTAGCAGCTGTAACAGATAAACCCCAAATCTCAGAGACTCAACACAGAACTTGTTCATTTTTGCTCATCCAATTTAATGTTCCTGGTTGGGTGGCCATGGGTGATTCAGAGACCCTCTTTAACACGTGGCTCCCAAGTTTGCCTGGGGACATCTCCATCCTATCTGCCAAGAAGGAGAGAAGCTT